ATTATTTTAGCTGAGAATGTGAAACCCCATTACAAGTTTGAAGGTGAGAAGTTTGAACCTAAGAAAGAGCACAGAATCACAGAATATCCCAAGTTTTAAGGGACCTATAAGGATCATCGAGTCCAACTCTGCCCCCTCTCAGGACCATATAGAACTAAACCATATAACCAAGAGCATTGTCCAGACAATCCTTGGAGCCCTGACATACTTGATGCCATGACCAGAGGAGTCTGTTGGAGTGACTAACTACGTTCTTAGTAAAGAACCTTTTCCTAATGTCAAACCTGAACTTATCCAGTGCAGCCTCACTGCACTTCCTTGTGTCCTGGCACTGGTCACCAGGGAGAGATCAGCACCTCCCCTTCTCTGTCCCCAGGAGGAAAGTGTACCTTGCCTCCAGGTCCCCCCTCAGCTTCTCCTCTCCAAGCTGTGCAAGCCAACTCACCTCAAATGGTCTGCATAAGTCTTGCCCTGAAGGGGTTTCACCGTCTGGGTCACCCTTCTCTGGACACATGGACACTTAGACAACAATCTGATGTCATTCTTATACTGTGGCACCCAGAAGTGCCCCCAGCACTGGAGGTGAGGCTGCCCCAGTGCAGAGCAGAGCAGGACAATCCCCTCCCTTGCCTGGCTGGTGATGCTGTCCCTGATGCCCCCAGGACACGCTTGGCCCTCCTGGCTGCCAGGGCACTGCTGGCTCATGTTCATCTTGCCATAAAATGGTTGGAATGACTCAAAAGTGCATGTGAAGAGTCCATTTTTCCTTTTGTTTGAGATAAATACTTTCAAAAGGTTTAGGAAAAAGTAGTTCAAGACTCTCAGCAAGTGTCACACATCCCAGTTGATACAATCTAGGGAAATAAAATGCATTTCAGTTAAAATTATAATACATCTCAGACAAATTGTTTTGTTTTCCTTTGAGTTTAAATGTAGAGTAGTGGTTTAACTGGAAGTGGAAAGAAATAACATACAAGAGAAATAGAATAAAGAGACAGGATTCCTTAGATCAATCTCAGAGGCACAAATGCTCAGGAAATAGGTGCCAGATATCACAGGTGCCAGGAGTCCTCTGACACGTCTGTTAGAGGTAGCCCAGCATAATGGAAAAGCAGGAACTCCTGGACAATCTTGTAGGACTTGTGAATCCATATCACGTGTCTGCTTGGAAATAGTCCACTCCTTTTCGATGTTCCATGCAATCAGAGGGGTTTTTTGCAATCTTTCTTCCAAAGCATATAATTTATACCCTCCTCTTATTTTGTCTGCTGTCTGCAACTTTTCAGTTAGATATGTTAATTCCACAGAATTGTGGAATCATGGAATTACTGAGGTTGGAAAGGATGCCTGGATATCATTTAGTCCAACCCTTGTGCTCAGAGCGAGATTTCATTAATGCAGTTGTGCTTTGAGTCCATAGGACTTTTGAGTACCCCTGGACTCCACAACCTATAAACAACCTCTTCCACTGTTCTGTCCCCTCTTCAGTGAAAAAGATCATTAATGGAGATTTAAACAGAAATTACTCTTGCGCTGCTGCTTTAGTGGCTGTGCCTCAGCTGGACTTTTTGCCATTGGTTGAAATCCTTTGAGCAGGCATTTCAGCTAGTTTCCAGTACATTTCACTAGTTTGTACTTCATCATTAAGATTTTACATGGGAGAGGTTCAAAAGCCTTTCCAGCTTTTTTTTCAGCACTGGACCTTTCCTTAGATGCTTTTTTGAAGACTAAAAGAACTTCTGGCCCATTTGAGTCCATTTGATCTTGTCTGGATTATTATTTTCTGGTAGGTTAGCTTACGACATAATGAGAAGATAATAATGGGCAAAGATCCTCACATGCCAGTTAAGGCACTAATGGGTCTGAGTCTGTTTCTTATTTTGTGAAACAAACTAGTTTGGATGGGCCCTATCAACTTAGTGCTGTAATCCTTTTGTTTGCCTTGTGGATTCCAGTAATCAAATGTGCTTCTGTATCTCTGAAAAAAAAAAAAAAAGAGCTTCACCTATATCAGTTATTCACGTGAATCTGTGTTACCCTTTTTCAAAACTGCAGTTTTTCCAAGAATCATTTTAAAGGGAGACTGCTAATCATTTTAACATCCAGCTTATTACATTATGTACAGTAATGCCTGTTTTTCACACATAATGAACTGTCAGAGCCAAGTGCAAATATAGCTGATTTTGTGCTTGTATGATTGTTCTAAACTGTTGCTGCTGGCATTTTTTGTGCTATCACCCCTTGCTGCTGCCACAGATAGAGTGACGCACTTCACCTGCAAGAGAGAAATAGCAATATCTTTATTGAGGTAAAACAGCCATTTCAGCCATTCAACAAAGTTTTGTGGTAAATGCGTCAACAGTTTAACAATATTTGATGGCAAGGTGTACTTGATTTTTTGCAGCACAGAGGATGGGGTCATACAGAACTGTCCAGGAGACCATCCTGCTGAGTCACAGGTTCAAAGGACTCCCCTGTGTTCTGAATTTTCTGATGGGAGTTTAGTTGTGCCTGGATCCAGACTTAGTCCCAGACTTGGTCAACACTTTATGGCTAAAGGATTGTAATTGCACAATCAATATTTTATGTCACTTAGGTAAAATTTTGAAGTTTAGCATGTTACTAATCACTTGCCGAGAATCTTCTAAGGCAAGGAGTCTCTCAGCCCCAAGAATTAATGTAGAGATGTGTCCATGCTGAAGGGGAGCTCCTGGAACACAGCCCCTTCTGTGCAGGAGAGCTCAGGCTGCCCACTGTTTATGGAGTAAGATAATTGACTTATGGTCATATTTGCACAGCAGCCGTATTTCGTTTGGCGCATGCTCAACTAGCCCTCAGCTGTTGAACAAGCCTCACAGGCCTTAGGTGTCAAGCAAGATTTATGGCCCTTAAGTATTGTGTTGATATCTGTGAGCCAGATGTAGCTGTCACAGCCACCCCGGGTGGCTGTTGCACAAGCAGAAAGCGGCAGGGGTTGGAGCACATCACCACAGCTGCCAAGAGAGAAACAAAATGTTCTGAGTACAATCAGGTAATCAGAACTTAGGACATTTCCCTTTGTTGCCCATAAAGTAGCTGAGAGATCTTTGCTGCTGCTGAGCAGGGTTTCAAAATATTTTGGAAGGACTGCTGGAATAATTTTTTCTGTCCTATTGTAATAGGACTCTGACTTTGTCATATAAAGGTCATTTCCCCTTGTTAGTGCCACAGCGAGTGTTTTGAAAAAGGAATTTGTCAGTAGTCCTTAGTAGCTCACTTCAGTCAATAGCTGGCTTAGACTTTATAACTTTGTTCCATACTAAGCTGTCCTTTTATTTTTGGAAATGAGAGTTGTGGCTCACTGCTCAGTTATTCTGCCTGAAATTCAGAGTTCTTTCAAAAGTCAGAAATTAAATTAACACAAGATTCTTGTAGAATTACATATGAATGCAGGACACAATCAGTAATATTCTCAGCCTGCTGAAATGTGAGCAGGCGTTTTCTAAAAAGTGTGATAATAGAATTTGGCTGAGCATATTATGGGGTAGACTCATGTAAAGACTTATAATGTAGGGGCTTGTCTACATTATGTGAACCAGGAGGGAACCGTGCTTACAGGTTTTACTTTGGATAACCACACATAGGATGATTTATTTTTATTGTAATACTACATATTAGTCATGCTTTTGCATAGAAACAGCTTTCTGTTTATTTCAAATGTCTGTTTAATTTTTCTCCATACTAAAGGATTTTTTCAATTGGCAGGTGGAGAGGGTATTGTTTCAGGGCTTTTTAGTATAAATTTAGAGGTGTCAGTCTTTTACACATTGCACTATAGAAGGATTCCAGAGAAATATTAATGAAGCTTTCACTCAAAAGCACATTTTGCTTTCCATTGTTTAGTGATCTATCTGTACATTAAAATTATACACATACAGATAAAAAATTCTGGAGGTACAAAAAGATTCTTGCTGCTCTTTTTTCAGCTAGTGCTAACTCAGTAAAGGAAAATTCTCTTCTAAAATGTTACTTTTTTCTTGTTCAGGCTAGGGTAGTGCGACCCTAGGCATTCAGTTTGTGTGTACACAGTAGTTCTTTAAATGTTATTTGAGGGGGTTTGCAGTCTGATTTTTTTTCCCCCCTGTGTTTTAAAGAGCCTGATACTGTGAAATCTGGTCATCTTTTTGTAGTCCCGCCCACTAGAAACCAGATTATTGTGAATTATTCAAATAATATGAGCATTATTTGACTTTTTAAATATCTGACTTTTTAAAATGCTTTCAAAAGCTGGCTTGAATTCTTGGGAAGAAGTAACTTTCCATGTTGAATTTATGTTATTTTCCTTTAACGGAGAAATGCTGCTAGTTAAGAACTCTTTTGGATGCTGCTGCTGTGCCAAAATATCATGGCAGTGAAAATGTGCTTAAGAATTCAGAACATATCATGCTACTTTTTTTTATCAGTGTGCCATCTTCGTGAGATTTAGACATCCTCCTTTAAGAGGGAAATGAAATGTTATTTTCTTAATTTCACCAGTTTATAAGTTACTGTGCTGTAATTTATTTTCTAAAGTAGGAGGAGGAGGAGGAGGAGTTGTTGTTGTTGTTGTTGTTGTTGTTGTTGTGGTAGTGAGATACTACTCATCCTCTCAGTCGTTCAGAGATTACTTCCAGGGCAGATGATTTTCACCAGGAATGTGCATAAGAATGAGTTGACCTTGACCTCTCTTTGCCTTTTGAGTATGTGTTGACGTTAATGTCAAGGTTGGCAGGGTGCTGTGGCTTGGCAGGCCTCGGTGGCATGGGGCTGGGGCCCGGTGCAGTTTGAGTGAGCGGCCCAGGTGCTGCGCTCGGCGCCGCCAGCACACGGCCCTGCTGGTGGCCTTCCCTCAGGGACAGCAGCAGGACCAGGACACCAGCCTGGATTTTGTCATGGTGCCCTCCCACCGCAGGTGACCTTTGCTGTTCCAGAGCTCAGCTCTTGTCTGTTTCTCCTGTTTTCATGAAGGTGCTGGGATGGCTGGAGAAGGTCGTGATCTGCAGTCGAGCTGAGGGAGGCGTGAAGCATTGTCCATCCCCTGCTGACATTTGAGGTAGGGTGATAATTTTTATCTTACCTGCAAGTGACTTTATTACCAGTGTTGGCTAAGCAGATTGATCAATAGTATCCTGTAATATCCCAAAATAATCCACACAGATCCTAGAATTCATTCCTGCAGGGGGTGATAATTAAAATATGCATTATTCAAAATTCTGATTGGGATTAATTGTCATATTTTAATATCCAGAACAATTGAGATATATAAATTAAGGCTGTCAGATGCAGTCCTGATTAAATTGACTTCAAGCCTTTCTGTCAATCTCTAGTAGCCAGCATTTGAGACAGAGGGCTGGGTGACTCTTTGAAGTGGTTAAAATCCATTTTTCCTTGTCAGAGAAAAATTATTATACTGCATTTTAACAAGCCATTTCCCACATAGAGTGCTATTTAGGATATTAATTAGCTGAATTTAAATGCACACTATTGAAACAAATAGAGAAAAAAAATCTCTATTTTATGAATGAGGGAGAATGTGAAAATGCCTATCAGAACACTGTAGGTAACAAATTAGGGTTTAAATGACACTTAAAAGTGTCATTGAATTTGAATGTACATATTGGTTTTAATTAATGTCTAATTCATTGGTTCTCTCCTGTATTACTGAAAGCCTAATCAGAATACAGTGGTGTAAATTTGAATTGGACATCACAGAAATATCCAGTGTATAATGGATTCAGACCCGCGGTTGCTCATGGCGTGAAGCTGAAAAGCTGTTATCTGGTGTTAAATTGCTGCATGAGGCTACAGCTGCTATCCGTGTGTACTGTAGCAGTTTTATAAGACTTGAACTGGTTATTCCTGTCTAAGTGTACATAGTTGTACTGTCATTAAATAGAAGAGAAATTATAGATACTTCTAGCTTCAGTTTCTATAACAGTAGGTAAAACTTGCTATCCTATGCCTGTTTTAAATGTTTCTAAAACCAGATGGTATAGCCCTAGATTCATTCATTGCACCATGGATCTCTGCTTGGGATATTTGCCTATATGAATTTTACCAAGGAAATGAGAAGGTCAGAATAGTGAAAAGTTACTTGTAAAACTGCTTGTAAAGTATGCATAAATTAGTCATTAGTGATGTTCTTAACCAAAGCCTTCTTTGTTGTGGTTACCATGCTTTTTTATACAGAGATCAGCACACCTGGAAAACAGTTTTTGAATGACTTCTGTTATTTTATAGCTGAAACATGGCCAAACAACCATACAGAAAACTACTTCTGGGCTCTGTTTTCTTGGCTTCTTGTGCCCAGGGAGTGATTTGATCCATAGTTAAACTGCCCATTCCTGATTCCTCTGTGAGCTGCCTGGAACTGGAAGGACACAGCTTGGACACGGGGTCTGGCTTTACTTCTGAGCTCCACCACAAACTCAATCGGGCTCTGTCACCCTCTGTAACCTTGCTGTGTTTCAGTTTCCTGTTTGTAGATGAAGGCTAGTACTTGTCAACTTTCAGAAGGGACCAAAAGATCCCAATCCTTAGGAAATGCTATTTGCGCAGTGCTTATCATCTTTGATGTGATGTTCACGTGGTGTTACCAGGGGAGAATTTAAACCTTTTGGATTTATGCGTGACTGATTTTTATTCTTTCAAGTATATTAATTTAGTCACCGGTTAATGAGTGTGATTACTGAAGAAAAACTTGTATGCAACAAATGAATTAAAAATAAGGACTGATTTATGCATCAGGGCAATTCAAAACTGTGTCTGCTGTGATATTCCACAGTTTTAATAATGTCGAGAAAAATATATGCTATGAGGAAGTGATTTATTGAATATTGCTGTACAATTTGTGTTGAACCTGAGAGCAGTCAGTCTCATCACACTTATGTGAACATGGCTCCTGTCACAAGGTTGGTGTGATTGGTAAGTGTCATGCATATGTTACCAGATGGTATCATTGCTAATGACTTCTTTAAAAAAAAGATAAAATGTTTTTATGTATATATATTTTTATTTTACATTTTTTAAAAGTTTCTCTTAAGATGAAAGTCTTTGGTCACTCCAATAATACAGCTTCCTGTGATATTAAATTTATTCAGTACAAGAACTACAAAAAAGGAACAGTCCTGCTCTTTCCCTTCCATGCTGACACTTTCCACATGGCATGTGAGTGAGACTGCCATTCAGAGCCCAGGGCTGAGTGATGTGAGGGTGTTTAGTGGTGGCCTGATTAAAGGGAGAGAGCCAGTTCCTAAGCCTTTTGCTGACAGGCATCTGTGCAAGCAGTCTTGCTTCCTGCTTTAGTATAAAAATGCCTACTAGAGCAAGGCTCCTAGTCAGACTTCAGAGGAGTTGGGTAATGTGCTAGATGAGAAGAGCCCCCAGAAGGGATTTACAAAACTCCCTCCAATGTCCTGCCCTTTAGTCTGCTCCTTTTTTTGAATGATATGTCTGAGATCTAGCTTGGTATGGGATTTATACTTGTGAATAGACAGCACAGAGTGGGTTTGTGCCTGAGAAATACTTAGAGTGGTTGTGGTTGAAGCCCCAGACTCTGTGAATTTTATCTGTAAATATCGATTTCCTCATGGTCCCGTGCAAACAACAGTGACAGCAGTGGAAAAATGTGAGTGCATTTCTCGTTTTTAATGAACAGTTGAATGTGCTCCAAAGTTTCACTTTTTTAATGAGTTGGTATTGTGATGGAGTTCCTGCAGAGAAGGAAGTCATAAAACCAGTGAAGGCAGACGTGCTGCTGCCAGCCAGCCAGCTTTGCACGGGGCAGCTCTGTTGTTTGTAGCACCTCTTTGTTGCATAGTATCCCATTTTGAGCTGATCAGTCCAAACTTGATGTGCTTTATGTGCAGTGTCTAAAATCAAATGTTGTAATGCTGAGCTATGATTGCTTTGGTCTCTGACATTTGAAAAGGGGTATATGTGGTATGATAGCCTTACATCCACTACACTGGTGTTACTGCAGCTAAAGAGCACAGTTAATTTCTGTTGTTTGTGAAAGAGCTATACACTTATTAAGATGGCTTTTCTAGTTGCTTGAGTGTTTCAGATGAGCTTTTTTTCTCTTAATTGCAATTCTTTCCATCTTAATGCAAACTGTCAATTTGGATGGTTTGTTTGGTTTGGGTTTGGGATTTTTTTAATCCACTACAGCTTTATTTTGTGTTGGTGAGATGGCTGCCAGTGTATCCACAAGACTGTAATATTCTGTGGTATATAAGGAGGGTGTTGCAGTCCATGCTTTACTCTGCTGCTAGGCTGAGGTTTAAATGCAGGCAAGTTCCTCTTCCCGGTGTGTCCCTTTCTCTGTCTGTTAAATGGATAATGCCATTGACTCCTGCTGCTGGCTGCTTCTGGATTTGCTGATGTAAAATACTATCTGCCGTAGTATTAAAATTAAAATACCTCTTTAGAAATTGATCTGTCAAATTATCTTTAAAATTAATATGGTCGTTACTGTGGCTTATTTTACAGACACTTCTTAATTTCTCCATTCGTAAAGTTTTTCTTACGGAAAATGCTGGGTGTTGGGACAAAGCTCTGTCAGTTTCCAAAGTGCATTTTTAATTACAACCTGGCATTTCTCTTTATGTCCATTGCAGAGAAAGCTGTCGTTGTAGTGCTATGATACCTGCAGGTGCCCATACAGATTTACTAGGAGGTAAACTCTCTGAACCAGTAACTGTTCAGTAGGTTGTTAACTCTAGAGATTACCAGGCATGTCTGTTTGGACTATGCCCCTTAAAAAGCAGGCTGGCTTCATCACTCAATGAGCAATCCAAACTTGTCTCCCCTTCCTTAATAATCAGTCATATTTCAAAGCTGTTCTGGATCCCATGTTACATGCCCTTCTACCTCTCCAGAGCAGGAAAAAAGGCTTTCCATGAGCCATCCCATACTTCCTGCTCATCAGATCTAACCCATGCTCATCTGCCTCACAGGATGGAATCTCCCCCCTCTCTTATATAAAAACTCTTATATAAAAGTATAAATATTTTTTTGTATATATATATATAGAGATAGATAGATAGAGAGAGAGAGGATGTAAATAATGAGCTGAGTGCTTGTGAAGGTACACCTTCAGGTTTCATCAAAACACCAATATGCCTGTGTGCATGTGTGTGTTAAGTGTGTGCAAGCACATGGAGACAAATTAGACCCCACTTCTGCTGCTTCCTTGGGAAGAAGTCTTTTAGGGCCTGTGATAACTGAAACAGCTAAAATAATGCCATTGTATGTTGCAAAACATGGGTTGGAAGAAGTTCCTTGAAGGCCATGAAAAATCAAGCCGTGTACACAGTTTGTGCACTTTCAGTAAATTCTGTTAGCCAAAAAGCTAGTCAGGCTCCCTATATTTGGAAATACTAGACACTCTAGCCTTGGAAAAATCTCCAATTAAAAATTAGCAGCATTCCTTCTACAGCTCTTGGCCTAAAAGGTGTCATCAACAGCCGTATCAAAAAAAATGCGTATCAGAAGTGATTGTTTCAGTATAAAGGTTTTAGAGATCCTGTTTGGATGGTATCCAAAAATGCTCATATGTTTTTAAGCCACTTTGGTAAATGTGGGCATAGTCTGCCTCTGTATGTGAGATGCTTCATCAAAACATACTTTAAATTTAAAAGTTGGATATTTTGTATTCCAGGTCTTACCAGCGCAGGTGGAGGCAGAAGTTAACAGACTTTTAAAGAATTTTATGAAAGGTTTGAACAGAGATCATCTTTTCTTTACAAGCCATTTCTTACCTCATGAAAACTTGTTTTGGCAGCACAGCATTAAAAAATACAGAATGATCTTCTCCACTTGCTCGTTTCATTCAGTGCTTATTTCAACTTTGTGCTGATTTTCACAACTAAGGATCTAGCTCCAAATCTCTCTAAGTGTTGATATGAAGTAGTTTGAGCAGTTGTTGAATGCAGTAGCCTACTTTTTGGTAGGTGTCCACCATTTCTATATTCAGGTTTTGTGGACTTAAAGTGCCAAATCAGCAGCAAATAGGGGAGGGAACAATGGTGGTATGATCCCAGAGAGGGCACA